ATATATATTCTACTTCTCGGCCTAGCACTAAAGCAAATACTCATACTACAATCAATTATAAATCTACTTATATTAATATTTACTCAACAACAAAACCAAGTAATTACAAACTATGGACTTATAGTACTTTACAATATACAAGATAGTATTGTCTAGGGTAAAACAATCTTATCTATCTTGTGGTATATCTATTATAATCCTTTAATATCCAGGGTTAGCAAACAAATCCTAGATTATACAATACAAACAAACCTATTCAAAAAAGAAATTGAATATTACACTTCAGTAATAGCCTTTATGAATAATACAGTATAGATAGCCCAAAATAAAATACAACTATAGCAAATTCTAAATATTACAAACTCTTTTCTAAAGTATACTAATATTATAGTCAATTCAAACAAGTCCATATTAATAACAAATAACAACAACCCAACCTCTTAATTGATTTTCTTGGCAATACTATACACAATACACAACTAAAAGAAATCTTTTAACATCTAAGAATATGGTTTTTACATAATTCTTTACATAAACTATTGTAGAAGCATATTCTAAAAGAGATAAAAAACAGTATAAACAGACTATGCTATACTAAAATAACACCAAAACAAGCAGTTTATATTATTAATAATATTATACTTGCCTGTATAGTATATCAACTACAATACATATATATATATATTTATACCCAACACAGTGTCTTAAAATGACAAATCAATACATAGTGTTAGTAAAACACAAAGCACAACTAGCAAGATCAGTTCCAAACTCAACTATATACTATCCAGATATATATGCTCTAAAAACATTAACACAATTACAACAACAACAACATATTCAAATATTAGATCATAATCTAAACTTACCAAACTTTGAATAGTCATTTTTCAAAGTTAAACTCTAGCAACTTCAAAATATAGCACATACTAACTTGTCAATCCTAAGTGAAAATACTGTTTTTCTATCCAATGAAAACTGAACATATACTGCTTAATCTATTCTGACTCTACATAGCCTAAATATAATACTTACCCAATATGCTAATAACTGGTTTATTTTTCTTAACACTTCTGATATATTAATCAACACAGTAATTAACCAACTCAAACAGACCTAATCTATCAAAACTTACCTTAACAAACACAAAATAGGATTTATTGAACAATTTCTTAATATATACAACAATTTCATACTAGAATAAAAATAATTTCATCACAATATTAACAAAATATTATGAGGCAGAACTCCTAAATAGTTTCAAATAGTTCAAAGCTTGATTGAAAATAATACTAACTCTTTTACAAACCTAGTCCATTCTAACTCATTTATTTTTAGAAACATTCTAACAAACAAACCTACCTGAATCATTACCACTTCCAAGACTTTTGAAAAAATTACAAGCATCTACAACAATAATACAACAATACAATATTACAAACTAGATTATACAACTCTAACTCTATATTATTGTACTAATTGTGTTCAAAACAACAAAGCACTAAAAAAAGCAAAATATATATTCCAACAACCAACAAAACTTTTACACTCTATTCAAGTCAATAAAAAAAAACAGATTTATATATATATATCTAGTGTTATTATAGAACAGCTTTGAACAATACTTTGAAAAATCTTAGACAATCTTGAACAATTAAATAAAGTAAAATTACTTAAAATTTTATTAAGATAATCTATTTTAATTTTAATTAAAATAAATTTAGCATCTAAAAAAATATATAGTTATATATTTTTTAGATATATTTATTAATTATTAAAGCCTAGACAAGCTTTAGACAATCTGGATATTTGGACAATTTTGGATATAAACAAGTCAAAAAAGGCTATAGATAGCCAAAGTATACAACACTGCATATATTAATCCTATTTACAAAAATCTAATCTAGTTATATAATGAAAACCAAACCTTCAGTTAGTCTTCCAATCCAAGCATATCATATTACTCACAAACTATCTCAGATATTTACCAATCACTAACAAAAGATTTGAGAAATATTTATACAAACTAATTTCTTACAACAAACCAAAATTCACATATCAGCATTAACCAAATCAAATAATACACAAAACAACCTAGCAGTACAAGCAACTTTTAACTAAATAAAAAAAACTTAAATCATTACAAACACCCACTAGCACTTACCAACTCATGCTGTATTCATAACTATAATCTTTATTCTAGTTACTGCTTCTCTTAAAGCACACATAATCATAAACATTATCCTAACTTGGCTAATCAAATATCTAGAAACTCAAACATATAACCATCATCAAATTTAGAAAAACTAACTTCAACTAGCTGCAATATATTATATATATAGTAACAATAGCAAAAAAATTATCAATTACATCTATCTTCTTTAGCAAAAAACCCTTTAAAGCATATTTATCATCACTAAAACTACAAATTAATCTGAACCCAAGCCCAATTATACAATTTTCCTTTATACCTAACATTTTAAACATATCAAGTACCTACTTGCTATACTAATTTACCAAAGCTATAATCAAAAGTTAAGCAAGAATAAACTGGCTTCACCAAGACAGAATATTCTGAATTCAGCAATAGTTCAAAGATATTAATTGGAAACTCACTTTCAAACAAATAAACTACAAAAACAAACCACTACAAAGATTTATAGAATCTAAAAAAGCAAATCTAAAAGTATTCAAAGTTAAATTAATAACAAAGGAACTACCCACTCTCTCCACACTCTATTACAAAAACCCATAGAAATACCCAAATCCTTACTGCGCTAAGTGCCCAAATCTGGTAAAAGATACCCCACATCTACTCATATGTCTAGCCAATAGCACATTACTTCAAACAATTGTAACCCAAGCCATAAATGATATTAGCCAGAAAAATCAATTGGCAACCCCAAATACTAACCTATTTATAAGTAATTTTATTAAAACACATATTAGTAAACAACTTCCTCTAGGTATTATACATGACTGCACACTAGGACCCTTTCAAAATCTAGCAAATAACAAGACTTTTGCACCAGAGCTATATCACAAAATTATAAAGAAATGATATGGAAACCCAGCCGGCAAAATCAACAAACATTCTATCTAAATAACCAAATACCAACCAACTTAACCATGACTGTCATCTGACCCAAACATATTTCCTAAAATGGTTACAAGAATTTACCACCGATAATCAAATATACCCCAACAACATAGCCTAGAGGTCTTGACCTTTCTAGCTAAAAATGGGTCAAGAGTAAATTTTAGAAAGAAATAGCTCTAACCTCACATTCCTCTATATATAAATATGTATTCTTACTATATAATTCAATTATATTTATAATAAAGTGAATCGAGGAAAGACCTCTCTTAAAAAAAAAAATAAATAATAATAATTCAAAATTTATAAATATTTCATGTTACAGTATAATATATAATTAGATAATAAAAGTTCAAATATAAAATTTGGTTTTTTCTTTCTTTTGCAATAAAACTTTCGTATTGAATGAAGTCGGTTTTTCTTTTTTTACACGATAAAAATTTAACATTAAAAACCCTGCTTGATTCGGGATCTGGTTAAGTAAGATCTGATTTTAAACAGCGATTACATAACTGATTTCGGTGGTCATGCTAGGGAGTTATCTGATTTTTGGTGGCGATAGTGTATTAAGTAATGGCCTGTCGGAAAATTACACCGAAATTTGTTATGTTTGGTATAAAAATGATTCGAAATATCGCATGAGCGTCTGAAATAACGCATCAATACACGTTATTACACGAAAATCTGTATTCGAATTATTAAGTGGTAAAACTTGATTGTATTTAAAACAATTGTTTCTCCATGTTTGTACATAGCAAAAAATATATATATATATGCTAGGCCTTTAGTCACGATAAATACTATATCAATATATTATTTTAAATAAAATATGACTTTATAAATATATAAAAGCTTAAGGATGTTAACAGTCCGGTTTGGTTCAACTCGATCTATTTTTAGCCCAGTTCCACCTGGTCTTTTTGGTTGGTTCTAAGACGACTTGTAAGACTACACCGATCTAAAATTTCGGTCTGAGAAACTGGTCTGAGCCGGTCTGGTCTTTTATTATGAATTCAAACCCAATGGTTTAAACTTTCGGTCTGGATTTATAATAAATGACCGATCTGAGACCAGTCTTTTATTATGATTAAATTTATAATATATGACCGGTCTAAGACCAGTCTCTTATTATGAATACAACACAACGTGTTTGTTAAAAATTTTGGTCTGGATTATAGTCTAATTTTTTTAGACTGAAACTAGACCGAATAGGATCGGTTTTTCTTAGGTTCAGACCGGTCCTATGACGGACCATGGTCTATTGGTCCAAGACCAGGCTGGATAACATCCCTAAATTTAATTAATAAAATCTTTTCTATAGACAAAGTCAAACAGTGTTAAAGAACTTTTAATACATCGGAATTATTCTTATATTTTATTTTTTACCGTTAAATACTGTTACAGGAGATTTAAAAATTTTGTATAAATATATAGTATATCTAACAATCTATTTTCTTTATACTCATTCCGACGATAAAAGTAAGCGAATCCATAAAAATTTTTGATTATCATAAAATAATATACATCAGAAAAATTTTAAATTGGTTTGACAGAAAGAAATGTATCAAATTTAAATTAAAATCGATTATTTTTTAATCGATTGTGCATCGATTAGCTACCAATATCGATCATTCTTAATCGATGGCAATCGCCGGTAATCGATATCCACCCTATTTAAAAATTTCCTGATGTATATGCACGATTCTAAGTCGTGTAACCATATAGGAAAAACCTTTAATCTTAAAGTATACTGTATATGTATATGGTATATAAAAAATAATATTGAAAATATATCGAATAGAATCTAACTAAACATATAACTGTTTCTCAAGAAACAGGCATTCTTAATAAATGCACATATATATTCCTTATTTTTCTTATGGTCTTAACTATAGAGAAGCTTTCATTGCCGAAAGGGCAAAATGGCATGATTGACGGTCATTTCAGAAGGCGTAAGGTTCATGAATGGTGATGTGCGAATATTAGTAGTATATGATAGACCGATCTCTTCTTCAGATCCTTTATTATCGGTAAAAGGGGAGGAATCAACATAAATAGGATTTGAGTCAGATATGGGAAAGTTATTCCAAATGATATTATCAAGCCAAGTATCGAATTCATTTAAAAATTCATTTAATTTTGCGGGTTGGGTGGGATATTCGTCCATTGACATGAAACGATCAGTAGTTTGGACAGTGGAAGTTTGAGCATCATAAGGTTGAGATTTTCCCAAAGATACTTGTTCATTTTGCGAAGTCGAAAGTACTTTTTGAGGATATGCAAAATTATTGAAGCCATTTTGTTGTAGTCGCGATTTACGACGCGAAAATGTTAAAGATTTTTGGCGGATAGTTGTGAGCAAGTTCTTAGCTTCTCCGGCAATTCTCAAGTACTCATCTTTTACCCAATCTGGTTCCGATTTCCAAGATGATGATGCCATAGAAGAAACATCGGTCATTTTAAAGGCGTAATTCTGTGCTTGCAATTGTTTAACGTACACTCGTCGATAGATCAGGAATGCATTAGGTGCACGAGCAGGAACCTCCCCATTTTTTTTGTGAAAGATTAGCTCCCTAGCTGAGATTGGAGGAGGATAGGGAACTTTAATGGAAGGACAGGCTGTGATGTTTTCGATTTCATGTACAAACTCAGGTTTTCGATGAAATGTTTGATCAAGCAAATACATTTTCCTAATCAATAAATCATAAGACAGGAAAGGGCTTGATTATTATGATGAAAGGGATTTAATATTATAGGAATATGAGAGTTCCTGCAACTGCAAGAATACTGAACGAAATTTATTTGGTCCTTTTATAGGTTTTTTTTCAAGTAAAAAAAAATGAAAAAATGAATAAAAAAAATAGAATTTGTATTTTTTCCTGTAAAAAATATTTATAACGATATATGAAGAGGTACAATTGATATTCCAAACATAAATAATGGTATCATTTTACTTCTCTATATAGTTCGTAAGGATATTATTAACTTGGCTTAAATTAATTGGTATGTAAATGATTCTGCGCACGTCGTTATGTAATGCACGATCAAATTAATTTAGACATCAAAGTATAGTTACTACTTTAACGTTAATTCATTGGCATGGCCGTAGTTGCTAAATTTGGACACACACTGTAACTCTTTCTTTCATTGAAGCTCAACCAGGACTTCGGCTCAAAACGTGGGTTATTTCGCGACGAACTTTAAAATCCAAAAACGCAGGAACAACACAAAATAAATCCTTTTGTAACAATTATCTGGCAAATAAGCTTAATGTGTATGCATCACGTGACGGGAATAACGAAATCGGTTCACAAAAAATTATTATTTGCCAAAAACTCAATGAGACAATGACGTTACACTTATGTATGCTAACGTCCATTATTCATTTAATTAGCCACACTCATTAATTAATACTCAAGTACGTACGTACGTACGTATGTACATACAAGTAAATACGAGCGTATATTTTATTGCGAATTTCCTTTCATAGACACATTTGCTGAAGTCACGTGCTCGATTATTCAACATTAACAAACATTTTGGGAATGTTTGTATAAACTTCATCACACGTTCTAGTTTCATTTGAAGATTCATTATTAAAGATCTACCATAATCTACCATTAATGTAAATTTATATCATGAACACAATTATTGCCACAACTCCTTCATGAAATCATGAAACATGTTTGGATTGTAACACCCAGGAAACATGCATAGTGCAAATAAATAAATAATATCGATAAAATTTTTCATGTTTTTCCTTGACAACATTCACCCAAAATTGAGGGTCCGAATGATCTGGTTGCAATTGCATGATTAAAGCCTAATCATAAGTGCACTTTAGTACGGAACCAAATTTATCCCTTACGAACGGATAACGATAATCCGAAATTTATTAATTATGCAGATAATCCGGTTATCATGTTTTACAAGTCGTCATTGGGTAACCGAATTGCATCCGGAAAATGAATACCATGCCACAGTAGTTAGCACAATCAAATAAAACAGATAATCATAAACTAATTTATAATTTTAGTTGATAACTATAATATATAACGATAAGGAATAAATTCCGATATCGATATTATTAAACATTCTTTATAAATTGGTTTATCATATAAATTGTATTTTGGATCTTCTTTAGAATAACTGGGCAATATAAAAATATTATAAGATTATAATATAAAAAAACACAAACCCTAACCCTAATCTAACTTTAATATACACTATAACCCTTACCCTAACCCTAACTAGTCCCAAATTTGCATAAATTAAGTTAAATAGTTATTTATTTATATTATAATTTTATAGTATTTCTATATTGCCCGGTTATACTAAAGATCAACCAATAGAAAAAAGTATATGCAGAAAGAGAAGATATCCAACCCTTTTGGTACAAGGACCTACTCAAAAAGGTTACATTAGAGGAGTGAGATAAGGCAATTAGCAACACCAAGAACAACTCTGCACCAGGGATCTTGGATATAAGTTATCTGATCCTCAAGCAGGCAGGGGTCAAATCTAGAAGAGTTTTTGCAAAACTGGTATCAGAATGCATCAAAAAAGTCAGAATACCCAAAAAGTGAAAAGCAGAAATGCTATACCCTATTCCAAAAAGTGAGAAATAGAATTATAATCTGAACAATATCAAACCAATTATGCTTATCGAGGTCTTTAGAAAATGTACAGTCCGGGTTCTTACAATAAGGCTTAGAAACATACTCAAAGAAAGAAATATCCTGAGAGGGTACAACTTCGCAGGTCTCCCAGAAGAGAGAACAGCCACACAGATACACATAATGAATAACATAATTGAAGATGCAAAAGAAAAGAATAATAAACTATGGGTGGTCTTTCAAGATATCCAGAAAGCATTTGACTCTGTAAGCATAAAAATGCTAAAACTTGTACTAAAAAGGCTTAAAATCCCAGAAGTAATTACAGAATTTATAACACAACTATTTGAGAAAAGAGAAATTGAGGTAATCACCAGTGTAGGTAATACAGAAAGATTCCAGGCTCTAAATGGAATCGACTAAGAAGAAGTAATATCTCCCTTGGTCTGGAGAATATTCTATGACCCCTTGCTTGTGGCTATACAAGAAACCAAGAATCTAGGGTACGAAATAAAAATGAGCTGGCCAACAGATATTCTAGAGTTAAAATTTAAAGAAATTATGTGGAGACAAGCAGCTATCGCATATGCAGATGATACCATATGGCTGGCCAAATCTAAAGAAAAAATGAAAGAGATTCTTAGAATAGCAAAAAAATTCTTTGACATCAATGATATTAAAATTAATGGTAACAAATTCAAGCTCATCGTATTCAGAAAAAAAAAGAAAATAATAACACCAGAGGAAACGCCGCAAATAAAAATTGCAGGAGTTAAAATAAAAGCCAAAGAAAATACAGAAATAGCAAGATACCTTGGTATATAGATCTCAGAGAAGTATAGAAAAGAATGTAATATTGAAATAGCAGTAAAAGAAGTCTTACAAGTCACAAAAGCTATTAGGAGAAAGAAGATGACACTAGGTCAACTCATATATATAAACAACAAAGTACTTATATTAAGATTAGAATACCACCTTCAATGCTGCCTACTGTCACAAAGCATCTGCAAAAGAATACAACAACCCATGCTTATGATTATCAAAAGCAAAGCAAACCTAGTATCAACAACAATAGATGAAGCTCTAAAGCATAGGAACTTGACAGGGGTGAGATCTCTGTGGCAAAGCCAGGTTACTTACCATGTTATAGAGTTGGCACTATACTTAAATGACAGAGATGCAGTAGGTAAAACAACATGGATGAAGCTTAGACAAAGCCAGCTCATTTGCAAAAGCACTAAAAGCATCTTATAACTTGATAAAGAAAGATTAAACAAATATAAAATAAAGCTCAACCTAGCATTCAATGTTATCAAAGTCGCAAAAAAATTAGAACTAAATCTAAGAAGCAGAAAAATATCAGAAGAGCTCGCACTGATCTCGAAGAGAACAGAAATTGCTAACCTTCTAAAAGACCAACCTTTATAAGCATTCTGTGACAATCAAAATCTATATGTGTATATGGTAGAGCAACTACTCAATATGCAAGGCTCTAAAATACTTACATGGAAGCAAGTTAAGAAGATAAGAGGCCTTAGTTGTCAAGGCAAGAAGGCATCCTGGTATAGTGCTCTGGAAAAAACGATACTTCAAAATGCAAACAGTAATAACAAAGCAGTCAAAGCAGATTTTCGAAAGGAAAAAAACAAACTTTTTTATAATAAAAGCAAAGTTAGACTGGGTATCTCTAGACAAAAGGAAAAAAGAGTGAATACTTGGTGGTCCAAACAGTGCAACACAAGATTACTATATTGCTAAAGTGGTAAACAAAGAAAAAGATAACCAAAGACTCACACTTCAGTACTGGAAAAGAGCTAATGATAGGACAAGTTGCTCTGAGATATTACAAAAGTGCCAGGGCTACAACCTCGTGACAAACTCAAGCTCAGAAAAATGCATTATAACTAAAAGCTTCAGAAACACAAAAAGAGCACTTAGCAAAAACATGATAATAAAAACGAAAGACGTACAAGAAAAGAGCATTTATGAGCTAGAAACTAAGTTAATACACCTAACCCCAACCAAAGAGAAAATAGACAATATAGAAGTTATACAAACCATATACTCTAAGCCAATAATTCAAATAGAGCCAGTTGAAGAAGAGTATATCAAGTTGAGCTTCCAAAGTATAGAGATTTAAAACCAACTCATAGACATAGTCAAGAAAACAAGAAGGGGAAAAAGACTAGAAGTTTTTACAGATGGGTTATTAGCAAGAGACGAAAAAGATAAGAAAAAGGTATATATAGGAATAGGATAGGTAATTTCAAGATTAGATAAGAAGCAAACCAATATAGAATTTAGTAGTAAAATAAGTAACTGGCCCTCCTCGACTCACGCAGAGCTTGGTGCAATCTGGATAGCCTTGGCAGTAGCCCCAAAGATGCAGAGATTCATGTATTTACAGACAGTCTCTGTGCAATAAAAGTAATAGAAAAGGCAAAAGCTATAG